AAATGTAGTAATGACTTAAGACCCATTTGATATTCAGTTCTTTTCCTTGGAGCTTTGTTTAGATTTGGGGTAACAATCTATATACATTATTTTGTAATCAACACAAATGATGTAACCTAAATCTTCGGTGCTTGTTTCCATGCAGTTTTGATTTAATGGCTGGAATCTTGTTACGCAACTCTACATGGTACAACTGAAATGATGCCATCAATTGTATCCATTTGGGGGAATTTAAAAAAATTGTATTCACCCACCGCACATTCCGGAGATCTCTAAAGATCCCGTTTGCCCTCCGGAAGTCTTTGAGAGCCAAAGAATTATGCTCTTTAAAGCACAATTGCTGCTGTGATTTCTAGTCCCAAAGCCAAGAGCGGCAAGGTCGACCATCTGCCTGTTGCTTTCCCTGCTGGACCCATTAACCAAGAAAAGAGGGGAAGTAGAAGGGGGGGCAAATAAAGGGGAGTATATCTCCAGATGCATTTACAAAGAAAACAGAATGAAAGAACAGAAGGAAGAAGAGGCAGGAGCAGAGGGACTGAGATCTTTTCTGATCTAAAACAGGTGACGAACTAGTGGCAGAACAGAATCAAATCCCTAAATAATCAAAAACGGGAGTTGCATGACCTTGGTATTTTCCTGAGAAGCAACAGTACTTGACCCATCTGTGTTTTGAGGGATTCTTGCCTGAAAGCCTGGAGGATAGCTGCCAATCAGTGTTGACTATTCTGGGGCTAGATGGAGCAAGAGACTAGCTGAGTAGAATGCAGCTTCCTTTCTTAAAACACCAGTTTTAAGGAAAAGTGACATAGGTTAATGTAATGAGATTCTCCACCATGGCTATAATGTGCCAACAGCTCCTTGAAACAACTGCAGCAGCTTAAATACTGTATGCCTAATTCAATAGAGCTCTTATTTTCAGCACATTTTCTGGCTTTTCTAGCATCCTCTTTCTTCAGCTTCTCTTAGCTAGACTAAGCTGTCCCCTTTCTCCTCTTTTTGGTGACAATTGAAAACATTTTAGTCAGACAGGCTTTTGATATTTAATGCAGTATCTAACATAGCTAGTTGCCTTATGCTTGCTGCCATCATATCCCTTTCAATGTGTTATTTAAAAAAAATTAAAGAAAGTTAATAACAACAACACTAACATAAAATGTGTATACATACAATGCAATGCACCTGTAATTTCCCTCCTGTGCCATCCTCACCCTTGGGACTAGGTGATCAGAAATATCCTTTTAATCCCTTTTCACCCCATTCCACTCCAAAAATACATTCATTCTTCTGCCGGCTTATGACCTTTCCCTTTCACAAAGACATACTTCAAATATAAATTCCATACCTCTTTTAAATCATTATATTTTGTCATTCCCCTTCTTATTTTAATTTCATATGTTAGTTTATCATTAATCACTAAACACATTTCTATGTACCAATCTACAAGATTAATTTTCATTTTCAATGTGTTCTTAATGCTTTTATACTTTATCACTAATTACTAAACTCCACATTTCTGTGTACCAATCTACAAGATTAATTTTAATTTTCAATGTGTTCTTAATGCTTTTATACTTGATGTTTATTTTACAGGATGACTTTAGTATTGTCATGTTTAATAATTTTCTAATGCTTGTTTTAATTTCTCTTTCTTTTAATGATCTGTCAGGTGTCTTAAATCCTATTTCTGAATGAAAGGCAGGATAAAAGTGGAATAAATAAATGGCTAAACATTTATGAAGAAAAAATGCATTCTAGTTTTTTCCCTCCTGCTTAATTTTTTTTCAATGGAAGAAGTGTTGTGTTGGTCAGGATCTGATGGAGTTAACCAGAGGGCTGCTTCAATAAAGAAAGAAAAATAACCATTTTGACAATTAGGTCTTTTCATGGAACAGGATAATTATTATAAGGTTTACTGTGCATCTTTTGATGATACAACTCCATTGCATAGGGGTGGGGAGGATCAACCACATTTTATTTAGATTTGCCAGTCAAAAAACAGAGGCCAAAATCTCCCTGGTTTCTGTACAATTTTGTGTTTACAACATTAATGTTAAAGCCTGGAGAAATAATAGCTGTAACTCTCGTAATGCAGTGGGAAAACCAGACTCCTGGCCTTTAATTTACTCAGAGGGAATACCTGAAATCCAGTGTTTAAAATGGTAAAACAATTAGTCACTTCACAAGCCATTTTTATGGAACTACATCAACAGTTTATGTCACCATTACAAACGCAACATATGATAAAATATAAAATTAAGTGGGAGTACACTAGCAAGCGCATTTCTGCATTTTCTGCATTGACAGTTCATAGGTATTTGAATAATTAAAATGCTTTTATATCATTTAGCACATGGGGACAAAGCATCTGGAGCAGTAAAATGTAGAAAACAATTTTGGAACAATTATATAGTTCCAGTATGGAGAACAGGAAATAAACTAATCTCCAAAACCTATGCCCTTTCTTCAACCAGAAGTTGCTCAGAGCTTCATGTAAGTTCTGAAGCAGAGCCTATAAATATGTTCAACTGAACATGCCTGCAGGGCTCTCATGACTGGAAGGCCAGCCTCATCAAGTGCATGATCAATACACCGATCAGCACATGATCAGCACACTGAACTGAACGTGTTTGCAGACTCTGCTTCAGATCTTTGCATTTACAGTGGTGCCTCGCTAGACAGTTACCTCGCATGACAGTTTTTTCACTAGACATTGACTTTTTGCGATCGCTATAGCGATTCGCAAAACAGTGATTCATATGGGGGAATTTCGCCGGACAACATTTGGTCCCTGCTTCGCAAACCAATTTTCGCTAGACAGCAATTTTGACAGCTCCCTTCGTGCTCGCAAAACGGGTGTTTTTGGGACTTAAGCTTCGGAAGACAGCTATTTAAACAGCTGATTGGCGGTTCGCAAAGCGGCTTTCCTATGGTCGATCTTCGCTAGATAATGACGATTCTTCCCCATTGGAATGCCTTAAACAGGTTTCAATGCATTCCAATAGGGAAATGCTTTTCGCTAGACTATGATTTCGCTAAACAGCGATTTCAGTGGAACGGATTATCATCATCTAGCGAGGCACCACTGTATCATACAAAGGTCTGAGTGCCTCCCAAATGTGATATGACATATGGGCTGTGGTTTAGGTCTGTCCCATGTCCCCAGCATCTTATTAGCCTTCTCCACAGTTCAGGTGCAAACATTTGTAAACAGTCACAGAAATACTGATGTCAATGGAAATTTCTGCTTCAGTAGAGTTGAACACTGAGTCAGGGTGCAGTCAGTGACATACAAATCGCACTGGATTGTGCTAGAAAGGGTTGCTTCCAGGGTACAATCTTAAAAAGGACCCTTTTAAAGCGACCCTTCCATCAAGTCCCACCCCCAAAGCAGCACCCCCAAAACAGGGCCAAAAAGGTCCAAACAGGGCACAGAGAAATTCTAAACTGATAAAAAATGGGATATATGATCAATTCTGCCTCTTAACACATGGAAGAGATTAATTAGTCTTCCTACACCTCTGAAACAGTGGACTTGACACTGTACATATCAAAGAACACAGGTAAATGTGGCTTTCCATATATTGTTAGACTGCACCTCATCTCTAAATAAAAATAGTTGTATGCTCTTAAGTCAATTCTGACTTATAGCAACTCTTTCCAGGGTTTTCTAGGTGGAGAGGACTCAGAAGCAATTTACCGTTCCCTTCTTTCAGCCATGTTCTGGGATTGTGCAGCTTGCCCAAGGCCACACAGGCTGGCTGTTGTCTTGGGATGCACAGTGAGGAATTGAACTCCCATCCTCTGGCTCTGCAACCAGAGATCTCCTAGCTCATAAAGTCAATGGAGAGGGACAGTGAGAGTTACAATCTAAGAATATAAGTTGCTCACCCCCAGCATAAAGGCAGCCTTTGAAACTCCTGGATGCTATAAGAAGGATGGAGGGGGGAGAAGTATGGGAATACCTCAGTGCATGAATACACATGTGTGCACCAATCTGAATTACAGCATTAGACTGCATTGAACAGGGTGGCGAGGCCATCAGGGCAAAGAGGGTGCTACCCACATCAGGCTCAGCCAGCACACTCCTGCCCGCATGCTTACTTATCAGTATATGGAGGTTTGGGCCCTCCTGTGTTTCTTTCCTGCCAGAGTCCCAGCCATGCAATCGGTGGCAGTGTGAGAGAGGGAAGCAGCAGACAGCAGCTTGCTGTTCCTCCTGAGTTCCTCCCACCCTTCGCTGCTGCGCTGCTTCACCAACCCCAGCGGGACACCAGCTACCACTGGCCATATACATTTCTTCAAGGAATAAGTAGCTCCTCTACATTTAAGCATGAAATTGGTGAGGAAAATGAGGCAAAGTCTTTACCAGTGGGGAATTCACCCTAGTAATGGGAAATCAAATTGATACAACATTAGAACTCAGATTTAGGTACATGGAACTAGCATGGAGCTGTATGGTAGACAGAGGAATGGGGAACAAGTGAAAACTCGGACAAATCAGACATCCTCCATGATGCTCAAGCCCAACAGTGTGCAACCAAATCTGGATTTAATCCATAGGTTTCAGTGGCTAGAATAATGCTATGGTATTTAACATAGTAACATGATATATATATTATAGTATACTTTAGGGATCCCTGTATTCATGAGAGATCGGTTTCAAGGCTTTCCCATGGATGCTGGAAAATACAGAACACTTTTTAAATAGTGTACGCTATATGAGCATAGTCTCTGTCTCTCTCTAGTGTCCAGTTCTGGTAACTTCATCATTAAAAATTATTATTTGGGGGATTTTTCTTTTATTATTTTTAATATTTTCAGACTGTAGATAAGTGAATCAGCAGATACTGATTCCATGGATAAGGGGTCCTACTGTATAATAACTAGCCAGCCTTAAAACAGCTACCTACAAATGGACATCAGTGCTTGGCAGTTCAAGAGTTTTGCAAATGCATTACTGTTTTGTGGGTTTAATTAAAAAAAACCCAGCACACATTAAAAACAGAACAATTTGAATTTATTCAAAATTCATCTCAAAACACAATGTGTTTAGTTAAAAAAACATTCAAGACATCAAAATACTTCTAATTTAAAAAGAAACCTTGTTAGGAATAAAAACAATTTACATAGAGTTGAATAGGGAGTGGGTGGTAAAATGGTAAATTAGGCACTATATTAAGGCCAGCATCTCTAATTTCATTCGCTATTTCAGAGGTATGACAAATAGCCCATTTACTTGAATTTAACCATGTAGGAATGAATTAGTAGATCCTTCCACAGTAACATGATTATTGATTGTATTAAGGTATCCTTTACAGAGAACTACTTTCCCCTCACACTTGAATTCATCTTCTAATTTTGGAAGCATTATTGTTTGGGGAGGGACAATGAATCATGAAATAGAAATATTCGATATGGATTCTGTACCTGGGGAAAGGCTTGTTTTTTAAAAAGACATAGCAACTCTTTTTAAAAAATGTTAAAAGACACCAGTTGCATAGGAATTTAAACATAAGGCCAAGCAGAAAATTAGGCATAATAAGGATCATTTTAAAAGCACTACGGTGTCATTTCCACCTGAATTGCAATCTAATTTGAAAACAAAAATATCACAGTATCTTCTAGTACTACAAACAGTGAATGTCAAACTGTCTCATTAATTTTCATACTAAAAACCAATACTAAGGCTTGGTAGCAGTAGAAAACCAAAACGTATTGTTTGAACCTGATAAGTGTGTTAGCACCACAGTGCTAGGATACGTACCTGATGTTAGAGATTCTACCTTCTGTAAAAGTTATTGGTTGCAAATAAAGTGTTCTGATCACTCATTACTGCACAAATTAAGTGGTGAACAGGATTATGCGGTGTTTAATTCTTCAGTGCTAAGATCCCTTCCTGCAGAATCTTTGCTCACTGAACAATGGACACTATCACCACTGAAAATACAACAGAAGCTTCTCTATTAGTGTGCTATCACATAAAAGACAGATAGATCCTAAAACCAATAGTCTATAATTACTAAGTCACAGCCATTTATGTTAGGAAGGTAACCTGTAGACTTCCAAATATTCTTTTCATGTATTAAATATAAAACATAGGTATTTAACAAATCATTTCTTAACAATTCAAGTAGATTAAAATTGTGAAACTATTTCTTGCTAATTCATTTTGAGCTATTAAAATGCACTTCAGACCTTAGTTTTAATATCATACAAGTAGCTTACTTCCTAGAATGTTACCGAGCAGTGTGGGAGTAGGGGAGTGTTAAATGTACATTAGCTAAGGAAAGCTGAACCAAAAGGGAAAAGTGCATAAAACACTGTAATACTACAAACATGTTAACTTCAGGCCAAAATGTTTTCTGAGACCTAAGCAATACTATTTTACACATTATTTTACATTGTATCAATTAACCCAGATGCCACAGGCTACTGTTTTATCTCACACTGTTGCCATTTTGATTATTATATATTTCAAGGGAAAAAATCACTGAAGAAATGTCCAGTATTCTTCTGTCACTTAACTGCAGCTGCTTTTATAAACATTTAAATGGGATGATGAGAGGATTTTTTTCATTTCATTTCACACTTTTTGTTGGTGTTTCAGATTCTGTGGATTGCCTGCCATCAGTCCAAGCTTCCCGCGTACTCTTCAGTGCTAAGGTTTTCTGTTGGTCAACCACCACGTAATCAACTCTTTCATCGGCCACATTGTTGCCTGAACCACTGCTCTTTTTCTGGAAAAGAAATGCAGAAGAAAGGAGGGGAAAAGAGGTAAGCTAATAAATGCCTGCAGGTTGGCTCCAGAATGTTCCCTTCTAGAAGAGACTAAAGACCATACTACACAATACAATTAGTATGTTTTTAGAAGATGTATATCCCAGGTGTGAAAGATGGCTGTTTAATCTTTCCTCAGCGTTGTGTTTTCCATCTAAAGTGCTTTGTGTTGTAACTGGTTACTGGAAGGTAAATACAGATTTAATTTGAAAGCCTGGTCCCTGAGAGATTTTTTTCTGTGGAAATCATATTTTGGCTAACTGAATGAGAGGCATATTCTCTTAAGTTTGACACTAGGATCCAGCAGAAGCTCCCACTGAGAGAAGCAAATATCACCAAATGCCCTCTACGTGTCATATCAACTCCCACAGTCTCTCAAGGTTTTTGCAGCTCTTCAGAGCAAATATTTGGGTGGTGGACGAGCTGCCATGGGGCAGGGAGGAAGAACAGGCAAATCTCCCCACCCATTCTTCATCTGAAGCATCCCACGAGTTAAATCCTGGGCAGACCAGTTCTGGATTCAAGTTTATGTGGGAAAAAGGAAGTAAACTATCATTTAAATTTTTTAACAGTCATGCTAAAAATGGTGTCTTATCCTAAATGGCAATACAGTGAGAAGTCCACTGCAAGAAAAGCTGTGAGCTTAAAAATCTAATGGCAACAAGTGACATTTACAATTTCATAGTTTTCCATCCTGTGAATATCACCAATTATTGGCAGCAGGATTTAACTGGTACATTAATCAGATAATAGTTAAATTGATTTATTGGCAGGAGCTCAATTTAATCATTACAGTTGAGTGTGAAGAGCATTTAGCTCCTAAGGCTATTTTAGCTTCAATATGTTGCAATAATGTGGAATGAAAAGGTAGGTACTGTATTAAAGACAACCTTTCTTTCTCAAAGGATGTGATATGCTAAGTGCCCATGAGTAAGATCTGGAAAGAGGAAGGGAACCAAGCTTTGTTACATCATACAGCAAGACTGGAAAAGTGTGACCTTTGAGGTGCTATTGATCTCCAACCCCCATCAATCCCAGCCAGCAGAAGTAATGTCAGGGATGACAGGAAAGGAGAACCCAATGAAAATATGAGCGCGGCAGGTTCCCAACCTTTGCTGTATGTGAGTTCTTCCACATATGGACTTTTTTTTACACACGGCAGACTAAATTAGATCCATGGTTTTTCCAAAACATATATTATTCTTCTAATGAATGTCCTCATTTCAACTAACTGTATTCTACCAACCATGAAAAGTGCTCATTTTCCCCACACAAGTAGTCATTTCTCTATTTTTATGGACAGCAGGATACGCAAAGCATTAGTCTAACTTAATTTTGTAAGCCTCATTTTTCTAAACAGACGGACGAAAGAAATACTAGCTCTAATCCAGAGATCTAAAGATAAAAGACCCTCAACTGTAAGCTGCAAAAGACGCAACCTCCTAAAGCATTTTGTCATGATGCATATTCAGAACTGCACTGCTCAGTTTCGTTTACCTTGCGAGGTGGGGTAGATTTTCCAGAATCTAAATCCAGATCTAAATACTCCACTTGTTTGTCACCCTTCGGTTTTACCATAGGGCTGCTTCCTCCATCGAGACTGCTACTGCCAAACAAACCCTGAAAATATAATTCAAATAATTAGGTCAACAATAGCAATGGCTTTAATAGGAAAGAGTTAAGAATACTGCATACTTGAAACCAATTAGACCAAAAAACAAGGATAAAAAATCATTTATTTATTTATTTATTTATCACTGCATACTTGAAACCAATTAGACCAAGAAACAAGGATAAAAAATCATTTGGGAACATGCTTGTAAGGAGCCAGCAATATTTTAAAGCCAACACTGCCTTTAATTAACATTAATGTTGAGACGGAGTCATAATGGCTATATACTATATACTAACATATATGGCATATTTGCTATCTGTGCTTATAAGGATTCTCCTTTCCATTCAGACCAAAAGGTGATTGCAGTGAGGAGAAGCTGGAGAAGTTACCCTTTTGGATTACAAACTCCCAGAATCCACCAGCAAGCCTGACCAGTGTTATTGCCCAAAAAAGCAATCTTTCCAAGCTCTGCTATGAAGACATGACAGAGGTTGAGAATATTGCACACAGAAGTACGTGGCTCAAGAGATCTTCTTCCTCTTCTCAAAACAGCAACACCTGAGATTATCCAATGAAGCTGAATGGGGGGAGGGGGGCGATTCAGGATAAACAAAAAGAGTATATAATTGAACCCTGGAATTAATTGTCAGAAGAAGTGACAAAGGCCACCAACTTAGAAGGCAAAATGAACAGACAAATTCATTGGAGGATAAGCTGTCAGTGACTACAAAGCCATGATGACTACTCGCTACCTTGGCAATTAGAGGCAATGTGCTTCTGAGGAAGAGTTGTTGAGGGCAACCATTTGAAGGGCCTATTGCCACTGCATCCTGCCTAATGGGTTTCAATAGACCAAAAGCAGGGAATCCGACACCTTCTAGATGCTGCTGCCCTCCATCTCCCATTTGTCCAAGCCAGCATAGCCAATGGTCAGTTCTGGCCAAACTAAAGCCACATGCTCCTCACCCCTGCCATGGGGCAGCCAATACAGAGTACACAATATTGAACTATATAGGCCTTTGACCTTACCCAGCTGTGTTTATAACAAAATGAAGAGAGAAATACTGATATGCTAGGATCATGCAAACATACTCCATTATTTTCCAGCTTTACATTTTCTTCTTCTTCTTTTAAAAAACCTTATGACTGTATCGTCCAAGAAGAAAAAAGATTCAGTATGGCCCTCACCATTGAACAAGATGGCCACCCCACCCCTAGAAAACTCAAAGGCTGACATGACTTTTTTAAAAATTGCACATGTGTAGGCATATTTAAAATGCAGAATAACATACTGGATCATCACTGGACCGATTCGGGTTCATGGCAACATAGTTCTCATTCTCTTCACTGTCATGTGAGTCGCTACTAGAAGTTGTGCTGTGAACTGAATCTGGTCGAGGACACAAAGGAAACCTGGAGGAACTGAATTAAGACACAGTATTTTGAAAACAGAACCTGAAAAAACAATACCAAAGTATCCGAAATTTAGAACACTGCAGGTTTTGCAGCTATCATCATCATCATCTTAGAATTGCAGAGTCCAAAGTATCCGAAATTTAGAACACTGCACGTTTTGCAGCGTCCTGGCTATCTGCCACACAATCATCATCATCATCATCATCATCTTAGAACTGCAGAGCTGGAAGGAACCCCATGGATTATCAAGAAGCACAGCGGGGAATCACACTCCCAATCTCTGGCTCCACATCCAGATACCTAAGCCACTGAGCTATCCAGCAATTCATTAGCCATACAACCAGCTACACAAATCAAAAAACATTACCCGGGCATGCCCAAACATATGACAGCCATCCACAACAATCATACACACCAGTTATTGAATTTTGGGCTTATGCTGTGCAAACCTAGCGAGAAATTACCTTAATTAAATAATATTATAATTGAATTGAAAGCTTCCAAGGCTCCCTAGGGCTCCCTTTTGCCCTGGGGAAGACTATGGGAACCCTGCGACAGGGGGAGAGAAGTTTTTAAGAGTGAGAAATTGCTGCCAGATCACCAGGGGCAGTTCTGATCTCTTGCCAGGCTGATCTGGAAGCAGTTTTTGGCTATTAAAGGCTCCCACCTCCCCCAGGCTGAAGGTTTCCAAAGGTTTCTTCAGGGCAAAAGGGAGCTCTAGGCAACCTCAGAATCTGAAACCGGAGCAAAGGAAGCTTTCAGTTCATTTACAGGCACCAGATGATGATGCCATCCAACTTCATGACATGACTATGCCAACAGGAGTTTGCCCATTCTACATTGGAATACTTACTCTCGTGTAAAACTTCGGGTGATGGGAGATTTAACGGGAGCTGGCAATTCTTCCCATTCAGAAAGAGGTTTTATTTCTAGTGGTGCTGGTTTAACTATATAAAAGAAAGAAACAAGATTTGAAAGAGATATATATATATATTTCCCCCCTTCCCCCATGGAGTAGGATGAGAGAATGTAGTTCTCCTGCAGTACTACTGCAATCCTGCTATTCTGTTTCTTTTATCTTGCCAGTGAGAAAATAATTTCATAATGAAAATACATTTCTTTTAAATCAGAAGTCACTTCAGGCTCTGCTTTTGTACATGTGTGTGACCTAACATTAAATAATACTAAATAATACTATTATAAACAACAACAACAACAATAATGGTACTTAAGGCAATCTAAAGATTTAACTGCTATTTCTGAAAGCACACTAAAGGAGACTAAATATTTCTAAATCTCACTTTTTGGCCACTTTTATGTATATCTGAGTTGATTCAGGTTTATAGATACAATACTACAGTGCCAATCTGCACACAAACTGCTTTCTCTCAAGGATTTAGGAGAAAGAAAGAGGACTGACTTTGCTCCAACTTGTACAAACTTTTTTGATCCATCTGCCTTCTCTTACAAATGCAGAGTTCAACAGAAGTTTCTGCAACCATTAGTCAGGTCCAATTCTGTAAGGTACAATGGTAAATCTTCTGATGGAACATGCCCTAAACATGCTTTTCTGTGCTAGTTTTATGGGAAAAGGAGACAAATTTCTGTCCCTTTGAGTCTTGAGCTAGAGGTGTTGCTTAGGAAAGTGTCTCTCTGTTGAAAGTGGCTTTGAGTTGGGCTATTAAGAATCAGAGCTATAATTACTAACCTAACAACATAGTAACATCATTATAATGTTGTAACATCATTATAACCCTAACTAGGTTCTGGAATTATGTGATTAGATTTAGGACAGTCTTGCCAACAGTGCACATTAAAATTAATTGCATAATTGCTATTTGTTTGAAAAAGGAACTTGGAGCAAACAACTATGTCCTAACATTGCCCTGCAATTAAAAATAAACAAATCCTTGTAAATGTTAACACCAACTATAACAGGACTGGTGGCAGTGTATCTGCAGACTAGTTTATTTATGGATAAAGATCAGATTTAAGCAATTTAAGGTATTCAGGAAATAAGCTGATCATGCACAATAATATTAAATGGAGATTCTTACAGTGCAAACTTACAGTGTCTACTTAAGTAAGCCTTACTGACTTCAACCAGAATTCCTCACACTTGACTATGTATAGGATTCGAGCATTTAGCAATTTATTTTATTTTTATTTTTTGAAAAAATGGACTTTTAAGATTTAGGAGATCAGCGTTTGGAAACAGGAGTCACTTCTGCAAATGCTCAAATATTGCAAAGGACTGGAGTGACATCTTTCAAAGATGCCTCCTTAAATATATTTTAGACTACTCACACTAATAATAGATCAGGTGACTATTATCTAGAATAATATATTTTTGAAGCTTCGACAACAGCTGGTAAGGCTGCCAGATCCCTTCAGAATATAAACCTGGGGCAAGGTAGCTCAACACTGAAGCATCTGCTTTGCATATAGAAGGTCATGGGGTTCAGCCTCAATATCTCCAGATCAAGTCATTTAAGAAGCCCTGCCTGAGACCCTGAAGAGCCTCTGCAAGTCACTATGGCCACACTGGGCTAGGCAAATCAATGGTCTTACTATAAGGCAGCTTTCAGAAAATTCTCAAATCAGTGTGTGAATATCAGGACAATGGATTTAACCCAAGTAAATGTACATTTGATTTATTAATTTTTACACAGATGAACGTCCCATAAATTTAAAATATTATTTTCTTTTAAATGCAAGTTAATACAATATATAGCTCTGTAAAGATGGTCAGAGGAATGTGTCAATGTTTTTCACAAAATCCTTAAAACGAGGTCAGTGTTTGCTGTTTGCTGGGATTTGAATTCTTTTGAAGCTTAAGTTTGTAGAGATAGCCCCAGTGCTTTGGCAAAGATTGGACTCAATAGCCCTTGGAGTTCCGCCCAGCTCTAAGAATAATTCATTTCTAACATAAGGTCACCCCTTCATGGTTTGCTGCCTTGTCGTGGCGAAGGGGCTTGAGTAATTCAGAGAAGCTATGGGCTATGCCATGCAGGGACACCCAAGACGGAAAGGTCATAGTGGAGAGACCCGACTAAACTCAATCCACCTGGAGTAGAAATTGGCAGTGCCACTCCAGTATCTTTGCCAAGAATACCCCATTATCAGAAACAAAAGATATGATGCTGGAAAATGAGCCCCTCAGGTCGGAAGGCGTCCAACATGATACTGAAGAAGAGTGGAGGACAAGGACAAGTAGCTCCAGAGCTAATGAAGTGGCTGGGCCAAAGTCAAAAGGACGCTCAGCTGTGCCTCTGATCATCAGCTTCTTATAACAAAACTCAAACTTAAACTGAAGAAAGTAGGAAAATCCACTGGGCTAGTCAAGTATAATCTAAACCAAATCCCTTATGAATACACAGTGGAAGTGAAGAACAGATTTAAGGAACTAGATTTGGTGGACAGAGTGCCTGAAGAACTATGGATGGAGGATCATAACACTGTACGGGAGGCAGCAACAAAAACCATCCCAAAGAAAAGGAAATGCAAGAAAGCAAAGAGGCTATCCAACAAGGCCTTACAAATAGCAGAGAAGAGAAGAGAAACAAAACGCAAGGGAGATAGGGAAAGTTACAGAAAATTGAATGCTGACTTCCAAAGAATAGCAAGGAGAGACAAGAGGGCCTTCTTAAATGAACAGTGCAAAGAAATAGAGGAAAATAATAGAAAGGGAAAAAACAGAGATCTGTTCAAGAGAATTGGAGATATTAAAGGAACATTTTGTGCAAAGATGGACATGATAAAGGACAAAAATGGTAGGGACCTCACAGAAGCAGAAGACATCAAGAAGAGGTGGCAAGAATACACAGATTGCCAGAAGAAATGTCAACAACCTCAGATATGCAGACGATACCAGAAATGATGGCAGAAGGTGAGGAGGAATTAAAGAACCTCTTAATGAGGGTGAAAGAGGGGAGCGCAAAAATAGTCTGAAGCTCAAAATAAAAAAAAAACTAAGATCATGGCCACTGGTCCCATCACCTCCTGGCAAGTACAAGGGGAAGATATGGAGGCAGTGACAGATTGTACTTTCTTGGGTTCCATGATCCCTGCAGATGGTG